CATATCAATCTTATATTAATCTACATACATTCCTCTATTTTTTTCTGCAGTAGTATTACGGGACTCTGAATAAATAATCACATCATTTGATATGAAGACAGCTTTTTTCTTTTCTCCAACCCTTATTGTGAAATTTGTATTTTTTTCTTACTGTACTTGTTGAAGCATCAGATAAGAGTTTTTTAAAATAAAAAAGAAATCTTTTATGATAAAATTATATGTTTACTTCATTTTTAAATATTTTATCATCAAAGATTCTTTTTTATTTTAAAGATGTTCTTTATTATGCTAAAGAATTATCTTGTACCCTAATATACCATGAAATATATTTATTCAATATAAAGCCACCACTTTCAGTGCCAGCATCCCATATGAACGCTGGTTCAAGTCCTGGCTGCTCCACTTCTGATCCAGCTCTCTGCTATGGCCTGGGAAAGCAGTAGAAGATGGCCCAAGTGGTTGGGCCCCTGAACTCATGTGGAAGGCCTGGAAGAAGCTCCTGGCTCCTGGCTGCAGATTGGTGCAGCTCAGGCCATTGCCATCATCTGGGCAGTGAACCAGTGGATGGAGGACCTCTCTCTCTCTCTTTCTCTCTCTCTCCCTCCTTCCCTCTCTCTGCCTCTCTGTAACTCTGCCTTTCAAATAAATAAATCTTTTTAAAAATAAATAAAAATTAAGAAATATTTTTAACAGTTTGTCTCTGCATGACTAAAAAATTTTGGACTCTTAATATATTAATATATTGTATTACATTAATATTTTTGGAATCATGGTTATCTTGATTTTCTTCTATTTGCTGAGCACTATTACATATTATATGACTTTGAAATATTTCCCATAAAATGAAATTATTTGCTTGTTGCAAACATGTAAACAATCTAGGACTAGTGGTACTATAAATTTTGTTTGATCTTTTTTTTTAATAGTCAACAATTATATAAAAAAATTCAGCATCGCTAATCATCAAACTGAAACCACAAGTACAAATGCAGATCACGAAGAGGTATTACCTCACCCTAGTTAGAATGTCAGTTAGCAAATGCTTTTCACGTGTCCCGAGGGTCAGGCTGCGGGTCTCTCCTTGGAGCGGCGCGAGAGCGGAGCGAAAGCTGCGGCGCTGGGGCCATGGCAGGACAGGCATTTAGGAAGTTTCTTCCGCTCTTTGACTGGGTCTTGGTGGAGAGGAGCGCCGCGGAAACAGTAACCAAAGGAGGCATTATGCTCCCTGAAAAATCTCAAGGAAAAGTATTGCAAGCAACGGTAGTAGCTGTTGGATCAGGCTCTAAAGGAAAGGGTGGAGAGATTCAACCAGTTAGTGTGAAAGTTGGAGATAAAGTTCTTCTTCCAGAATATGAAGGCACGAAAGTAGTTCTAGACGACAAGGATTATTTTCTATTTAGAGATGGTGACATCCTTTGGAAAATATGTAGATTGAAATCTCTGAAACAGCATCACATGAAGCTTCCCATTCCATTGAAGTTCTGAAATCTTTTCATCACGTAAATAATTTCCATGTCTCTTTTTATAATAAACTAATGCTATCTAAAACAAAAAAAAAAAGATGTTAGTTAGCAAATGGACAAAAAGATAACAAAAAGTTCGGTGAGGATATGGGAGAAAGGGGGG